GGCACCGGTTCCCGCTGCTGCTGTCCTGGAAAAGCACTTCTTCTGCCCCCGGGTTCCCACATCGCGACTTCCATTCATTGCAAATTCAGAGCTCAAGTGCATGCTCCCGCTTCTGCCTCACTCCAGCTGTGGACCGGATAGTGCTCTCCGAAACCCAGAGCCGCCCCCTCCTGACTCAGGAATGTTCAGACTTAGGCACCTGCTAAAACAGCTCTGCCAAATAGCTCAAGGATAAGCTCCAGTTGCCTGCACATCTGGGAAACACATTCCGGCCGGCCGCAGTCACTGACGCACAGCCAAACACTTAACTTCTGAACGCACAGTGGCAGCCCCCCTAGAGTGTCGTTCTAGAGAGCTGAGAGGGCACCACGAAGGATGGAAGAGGTGGGACCTGATTTGCAGAGCTCCAAAGCCTGTGTTCTGAAAGCAGTGATACACATTGGCTAGGCATGCTCCACACCTGAGCTATAGGTGCCTTAAGCACCACTCACAGAGCAAAAGACTGGGTCTAACTAAGATGAGCACCGCCAGTCAAGAGCTGAAATCAAAACAAGCCCGTCTGTTGTTGGTTCTTTACTGTGGCTTCTTATTGCCTCTTCTTCTGCTGTCTCAAAATTGGCATCTGCTAAGAAGACATTTAGAAAGATGTAAGGGGGCATTCAAAACATTGCCCAGGGCTACAGACCCCCTAGGGCCTGAGAAAGGCCTTCTCCCAGTTAGCTTTCTTCATGACAAGGCGAGAGAGACTGTCATCCACTGGGGGTTGCTTCAAACTGTATCCACATAGAAGGTACAAGAATGAGGAAATCGAATGTGGTATAAATGTGGTCTGAGTCACGATACATAAAAGTCAGGCAAGGAGCCTTGGAAAACAAAGAATAGATTTGGTCTTAAACTTTCTTATCAAAAGCGATGTTGCCAACATAGCAAGACATATTCCATAGGCACAAACTTATTTAAAATTGAGATCCCAATGTAATTGAAAACTGAACAAAAAGGTTCTATATTTGTGCATACAGTATTGTCATAACTTGACTTGGTGTGGGATGTTTGACTTCAGTTTCTCGCTTCCTGCATTTGTAAAATGGGAATTATTACTTGCATATCACATGAGTCGTGTGTTGTTTAAAAGTGCTATGCCACTTGTGAGACATTTGGAGAAATCATTCGGTGAGTTTCAATTTCACAATTAGTCCAACTACACTATGTAATTTTGATTTTCCCATATAGTTTATTCTGCCTTTTTTAAAAAGTTAGCATACTCCAAAGACTTGAAATAAATTCTGTAAACTAAAAACCACTTCTGCCCCAAGTGTTACTGAAATGTGTGAGTTTCTCCTTTCATTATAATTAATTCTTCTCCAAAGAAAAGAGCCCTGCATAGGGTACCTGTGTCATGAATTCTTAGTCTAGGCTGAGAAAACTGTAACAAGTGTTTTCACCATCCACTGTAGGGATTATGTAAAGTGATGGCCATACCACTATATAGCAGAAGATTGCTACTTATTCAAACTACATTTAATGTATGAAAACAAAATTCCACACATGTGTACTCCCTGACAATCCTTTCTCAATAACATTTGAGGCCAACTACAATGAAGAGTTTGATATTATTGAGTTTAATAAATAAACACAGATGGATACAATTTATACACATAGTTTGTCAAAAATTACTGGAGCAAAAAGTTAGGATAAACCTATCGTGACATGTTTATTAAAAGCAGTGGTATTATTTTGGTAATGCTTGCTTCATATAACACTTAAGTACTACTAATAAAGAAACTTATAGAAGGCAAGCTTTCAAACTGCTTGCTACATTTTCCCAAGAGCATATCTCAACAATAATATTTCCTACTTGATGCCGGGCGTTGGTGGCCCACGCCTTTAATCCCAGCACTCAGGAGGCAGAGGCAGAAGGATCGCTGTGAGTTCGAGGCCAGCCTGGTCTCCAGAGCGAGTGCCAGGATAGGCACCAAAGCTACACAGAGAAACCCTGTCTCGAAAAACCAAAAAAAAAAAAAAAAAGTCCTACTTGATAATAACATTTTTAGCATCACAGTAACCCAAGAACAAGGTATATAATAGTATTGTCAAGGAACATAGCAGGACTAGGCTGTATATTGGCAATAGAGCACTTGCCTACCATCTACAAGGTCCTGGCTTGATCCCCTTGACAGGAAGGGGAGAAAAGAGAGAAATATATTCTTCAGCTCATGGGTGTGGTATTCAAAGAATATGATCTTGATGATGAGCATGTTGATGTCTAAGTTTGTTTCTGCTTGACACAATTCAGTACTGGGAGAGGTAAATTAAGATGCCCTCAGATGTCTACTCTACAGTCTCCTGTCTATTTCAACTTGCAGTTCTGTCAGGTGTTTTTGTTTTGTTTTGTTTGCTTTCTA